ATGATAAGGTCATTCTCTTTGGATTCATTCTTGAAGCCCTCGTTTCTTTGAAATCTTCTTCCTTTGTTGGACTCCATGAATCTTGTTAAATCTTTTGGTTAACATTATCATTTCTTCATCTCCTTCCTCACTTGAATCACTCTCTTCTTTGGTAGACCTGAGAGCGATACCAACTTTTTTTCTTTTCCACTTTCTTCTCCTCCTCATTCTTGAATCTTATCTCATGGGTGAAAAGTGACCCAATGAGCTCATCAAGTGTAAGAACCTTCAAATCATTGGCTTCATCAATAGTCGTCCTCTTGGATTCCCAAGAAATTGGCAAGTTATTAAGAATTTTTCTCACAATTTCTTCATTTGAATAGAATTTCCCAAAAGCCTTTAGCTCGTTGATTATGGCAGTAAATTGATACAATATGGCTTTGATGTCTTCATTGGGTTTTATTTTGAAATTCTCATAATTTAGTGTGAGAAAGTCAATCTTCCATTTCTTTACTTGGGTTATGCCTCCATGTGTGACTCCAAGCTTATCCCAAATCTCCTTAGCACTTGAGTATGAAAACAATCTATTATACTCATTAGGGCCTAATGCACAAAAGAGGATATGCATGGCCTTGGCATTGGGTTAAGCGAGTCTTCGATCTTCATCAGTCCATTGTGACTTTACCTTCAATACAACAAGCTCTCCTTGCATCTCTGAAGGAATGTATGAGCTGTCAGTGATAACCTCCCACACCAAAAAATCAGTGGCTTAAATAAATAACATCATCATATTCTTCCAATAAGAATAATCATCACCATTGAAATAATGAGGCTTTAAAATGGATTGAAACTCACCAAAAATTTCAGAAGTAGATGGAGGGACCATTGACGATGATACAATTGAACTCTTTAAAGGATTTTCTCAAGAGAATGTTAAACTTTCAAATGAGTTAGGCTCTGATATCAATTTTTGAGTCAATCGAATGGAGAAAATAGCCAAGAGTGGGTGATTTAACAATTAAAAATTTGATGGAAGCTTTTTACAAGAAAAGGAAAAATTGGCACAATCAATTTTAGAGTGGTTCAACTTCCTCAATGAAGTCTATCTCTACAACCTTAGCTTTCACACTAATGATTTCAACAAATTCATTAACTTGTTCAAACCTTTTAGGATAAAGTGTAACCTGACAACACACTTAGACTTATATCTCAAAGTTTCAAGTGTACAACCCTTCTAAAGAAGAAATTATAAATAGAAAACTTTAAAAAAAATCCCTTATAAGGAGTGTGTTTGCACAATTCAAAACAAATAGAAAACTTTAGAGAATGAAACAAAGAAGTAAACAAGTGTTCTTGAAAAGCAATAAAATATTCGAGAATGTTTGACTTGAATTTGATTTTATTTGGTTGCTTTGACTTTCTTTGTGTTCTCTTGTCTTCACATGTGTTTTAGGATCTTGCTTTTATACCCATTTATTCAATTCTATCTGTTTGGGTAGTTGTGAGAGTTAATAGAGCTGTTGAGATGAAATTTTCCTACAATAAATGTTGCCCAAGCACTTTGAGTATCGGTACTCAAGCTTACAATATCGATATTACCTACATTAATTACAAAAATATAGTCGTTGGGGAAATAAAATCAATAGTGATCAAATAAGTATGGTACTACTATTATAAGTAATAGTGATATGAGATGAGTATTTGTATCAAAATAGCATATTGAAATTTGGTATCTTTCAAAATCATAAGGGTAACATCGGTACTACTATATAGAGTATCGATGCTACTTTTATATATTGTATTGGCACTGAAAAAGGTACCGATACCAAATTTACTTACTATTTTAGCAAAATAAAATGAGTATCGGTACTACTTGTTTATTTTTAAGCTTTCAACATCGATACCACACAATAATATTGGTACTATTATTGTAGTATCGGTACTATTATTGTAGTATCGGTACTATTAAACTTAAAAATAATTTTTGACTTGATTAAAGTTCAAAATTCTTAGAAAAACTTGTTCCAAAATTATTTCCAATATACGAATCAATTGTTCAAGAAAATAAGAAGTAAAATAGAGTTTTCACTTTCAAAAAAGTTTTTATGTTTGAATAACTAAATCGAATATAATCTTAAAATCTTTTTAAAATATTAATTGTTTTTTTGTATATCAAAATATCAACATTATGTTTAAAAATTAAACATTTGCTATTGAAATAGTTTGTTGCAAAACAAATACTAAAGTAATAATAATAATAAAATTAATTAATTAAATCCTTAATTTCAATCATCATTAAAATAATCAACTAATTAATTATTAATATTTAATAATAATAATAATAATAATTTTTTAAAATGAATTTACCGGCTTATTGCAACAATTTAAACATAAATCGAATTCGAGACTCTTGAAAATCATGATGAAGAACCCATTTGTAAATTCCTTATCCTTTGCACTATGTGATCTCGTCCTCAGATTTCAAAATTTTAACAGTGAAAGAAATTGCTTTTAATTTGTTATTAAAAATATTATTACAAAACAAGTGATAGCATTAACTAACAAAATAATAATAGAGTAAATGAAAAATAACATAATAAATTTATTATACCGTATAGTTATTATCTTAGAAATAGTTTTGTTCGGATTAGTATAATTTCTGACATTAGAAATTATTATCAAGGTTAACACAATTTTTTTTATTTTAGACACTTGAACTAAGGCAGTAAAACTCCAAAATAATATTGTTCTTTTCTTAGAAGAAACAAAAAATGAGACTTTTAATTAAAACAGACACTGCTGAAAAAAGAGACATAAAAGATCTTTACTCGAAAAGTAAATCACTAATATAAAAGAGTGTAGAAGATGAGGATGGGATAAGTGAACGAGTGCGTAAAAGTGAGTGAGGTTTTTTTTTCTATAGGTAAAAATTAAATGAAATTAGTAAAAGATAAAGAAAAAAAATCTGAAAAAATCTAAGAATTTAAATTTTAAATTTAAATAAAATTTATCTATAATCAGTGTTCGACCCAAAAAGATAATGTATGAACATAGATTTCATCCTTATTATTCAATATAAATAAATGACATCGATCGGTATATAAGCCTTTCCTCAAACTTTGTATCACACTAACGTGGGATACAAGTAATTTCTTTGTATTACATTTTTTTATCAATAAAAGGTATAAAATTTTAAAAGATTTTATGATTTAAAATTTTTATAATTTTAAAAATTAAATTATAAATTTTTATAAATTTAGTTTTTAAAACATTTTTATAATTATAACACTAAATATTAAAAATAAAGTTTTAGTTAATCATCAAACGGCAAAAGAATTTATATATCAATTTAGAGTACCGAGTCATTTTTCTTCATTAATAACAGTTAATAGGGTGATGAACTTTTGGCAATAAAAATAAAAAAAATTAATGGATTATTATAACAAATGAAACGGCAATAATAATAAAAAGTTTAATTATAAAAGAAATGTCAAATCATAATCATTTAAGTATATAATATTATAAACGTAATTACACTTTAGGTGCTCGAACTATAACTGCTATTAAATTTATATGTTAATTGGCACGTGTCATTTATAATAATTTTAAAAAATTTATTTAAAATTAAAAATAAAATTATATTTTAAAAAACACACAAGTTTTGAAACACTTATAAAAAAACTCAAAAACTTTAAAAGCCTTCATTTCAACATTTAAATTCACGCCGCCCACCGCCCTTTGTCAATGACAAACCTCCACTCAATGATCAATAATCTTATGAAATCGTAACCTATCTATTTGTGTACTTCGATGAACTGACTCTACAAATCGCGACCTCACGTGATACCGATAGACAATTGGTGATAAATATGATGACATATGACTAGGAAGATGATAAAAATTATGTCGGTTGTGGTGGTTGTGGCTGACAAGGACGACTTCAATAGGTTAGGATTAGATATTTATGATTTTTAGAAATTTGGAGTTTTTTTTATAATTTTAGAGAAATTGAAGTTTTTATAAATATAATAATATTTTTAATTTTTAAAAAATATAATTTTCAAAAATTCAAAACGTAATATATGTCGTTTAACAGATAAATTTAACGGTAATTACGACCTAAACATTTAAAGTAATAACATTTATAACGCTAAACACTTGGATGATTCAAAAAAATATGGACACGTATTCAAGAAAAAAAATATAACTTAAACACTATTTTATAACTAAACTTAAAAAAATAATTTAATTGTTATTAGAAAATATAATACCACTTATAATTATTCAAATTAATAAAAAAACTTAATTTAATGAGTTGTGCTTCATCCTTAACAATTAAGGGTAACGGTGGGTTCTTTAGCGGGACCTTATAAGAAACTTGGCCTTTTCACAAGGTGTCTTCTTCAGCAGCTGCATCTCCAAATTAGTCTCAAAACAAAGTGGGCATTCTTTTGTCTGTAAGTTGAAGATCCTTCCCTTTTTCCGGCAAACAAATTAGTCTCAAAACAAACTCTTGGCCAAACAAATAACTTTATTAATGCAGTTAAAGCGTTCAAAGAAATGTATTACTCAATTTTTTTAGTCTTGTGATATAATGGTTTGGTAGACTGACAGACAGATGCAGTACGTAAAGCCTTTACACTTGTTCCAAAATCTGGTCAAAGCAAATGCATTGGAACGAGGACGGTTGCTTGGTTTAGATGTTAGTGATAAGTATGTTGGATTAGTTGTCTCGGACCTCGATAATAAAATCGCATCACTTTGTGATTTTCATTTGTTGCAGAGATTAGAAAATTCTAAGTATTTTCTCAATATTTGTCTCTTTCTCATCAAATATCTCAGTATTGCTGATGGGTTTTCTTTATTATGCTGTTGCTTGTTAACCATTACTTGATATTTAATATCCCTGAGTTGTTGATGTTTAATGATATATCACTTAGAAGATATGGAACCACTGGAAAGCTAATTTATGTTCTCTAAATGTATCTGTGCAGTGTTTTGATTCGGAAGAAGACATATTGATTTAATGGCTAGTGATTTTCAAAGCCTGGTGAGGGTGGTTCAATCTCCTTTCTTTGTTATTGGCATTAGAATTTGTCTGAGATAAATTTTGAGAGTATACCCGCAATCACGGATTTAAATAGTGGTATGCTATCGGAATAACAACCGTTATATAATAGTAAAGGTGTCATGAAATCGTTATGGTACGACCGCACTACTCGCAATGACCGCAATAGCACCCGCTATGGCCGTAATCGAGATAAATACAGCGCAACCAAAATTGTAACCGTAATTTAAATCCTTACCAGCAATATTCCAATAATAATTTTACCAAGAAATAGCTAGTCTCGTGCTTTACTTGTTAAGGTTTTGGGCAAGTAAATGTTAATGTCCTAGATTGTGTTGTTTGTGAGTTAGCAAGGAGAATGTTTGGAACGGAAAGAGGTGGGGAAGAGAAGTGCCTTGGTTTTTATTTTTCTTTCTGGATCATGGTATTAGATGGGAGGGTGTCAATTTGTTTACTTTTATCTCCGTATCGTTTCATGGAGTGGGGTTTGAATATGTGGACGTGTGTAAATTTGTTGGGATGATCCTGGTTCACCATTCTCATTTGCTTTTATTTCTGGACTTATTTTATTAAGTTGTCTGCATCTTTTAGTTTTGACGCATACGTGGCTGTTTTTTTCTGCTGCATTGTTGTGTGGAATCTTTTAATGAAATCTTCTTGTCCCTTTTCTTAATCTTTTGATTTAAGTGCTCCTTTTTTATTCCCTATAAGGAGTTCAATATGTGCCTTTGTCAGAAAGTGGAATCCTAATTTAAGATGATTATGTAATTAAATAGGATCTTGTAAATAGTCTTACAACCTCTAAGTTTAGGGGATTTAATTCTTACTTATAATAGGCTACTTTCCTAATATAGAAATTTCCTAAGATAAACTATTGTTTGCATATATAACCGTGTACCTTTTCTATGAAAGAGTGAACCAAATTACTCCATTTTTGACATGGTATCAAAGTTAGTGTAGCTCATTTCCAGTCGTTGTTATCCCTTTCTAGCAACTTCATTGTTTTTCTCAAAACCATTCTTTAAGTACGTAGTGTTAACATGGTTGAAGTAGTCGACACTAGTAGTTTTGAAACTATTCAAGAAGTCACAATGAACGAAGGGAATTATTCTAGTTCAACAAGGATTTGCATAACACACAATCAACTTGCAGACTGAATGAAAAAATACCTTTGGTCTCAACTAGTTCAAACGTTCTTAAAGATGAGAGGAAAGTTAAGTCATCTACTTGGGTCTGGACCTAAAGTAGGAGACCCTAGGTTCGACGCTTGGGATGAGCATGAATCACACTGGTAATGTCCTGGTTGTGGAACTCCATGATTCCAGAAATCAACGATACGTGCATGTCCCTGCACACATACCAAGAAATATGGGAGGCAGTGAAGCAAACTTATTCAAAGGTTCGAGATGTAGCCTAGATCCATGAAATCAAGACCAAGATCTCGTTTACTAAATAAGGATCACTATCAGTGTATTCAAATGAGATGCAGCGAAGATGCGACCATTCTAAAAAGTTTTATAGAAAAAGATCGAATATTGATTTTCTTGTTGGACTAAAGATTGAGTTTGATGCAGTAAGAGTCCAAATCCTTGGAAAGGAGGATTTTCCCTCACTAAATGAGATAATTGCAATCACACATGCTAAGAAAGGAAGAAGAGGAGTGATGATCGAAAACAGTCAAGTGGAGAGTTCAGCCTTGGTCACAAGGACTGTAACCGAGAGGAAATCTGGTCTATAACAGATGATAAATGAAGATAATATACATGCAGTAGCTAATAAGGACTCTCTATGGTGCACTTAGTGTAAGAAGTCTCATCACAAAATAGAGAAATGATGGAAACTTCATGGAAAACCACACAATAAATAGAAATTTTTCAAAAAAATGAAGACCACCAAAGAGACAAGGACGTGCATATGCAACAAAGCAACTTGTTGAAGATTCTCAAGAACAGCCTGCTGAATTCAATAAAGAAGACATTGAGAAGCTTAAGAATCTGATAGTGTCTCTGGAAATATCCTCCTCCACATGTATATTTAGTCGGGTTTTCTCAGTTATATCCTCTTTTCAAAACTCTAAATCCTTGGATACTCCTACCCAAAGTTCCTGAGTAATTGACTCTGGGGCTATAGACCATATGACCAATTCCTCACTTAGATTTTTCACCTATACACCCTATCCTAGCAATAAGAAAATAACACTAGCAATAAGAAAATAACACTAGCAGATGACACAACTATAACGGTGGTTGGACAAGGGGATATTATCATAAGTGAAACCCTCACTCTAAAAAATGTTCTCCATGTTCCAAAGTTGTTCACCAATCTTATTTCGATTCATAAAATCACCAAAGACACTAATTGTTGTATTCTCTTCTACCGTAACCAATGTATTTTTCAGGAACTAAAATTGAGGATAAGGATTGGACATGCTAAAGAATTCAACAACTTATATTATCGTGAAGACCTCGGTGGAAAAATTAGTGCCCTAAGTTCCTCACCATTATCCCTAATGTTAGAATCCCACATCAATAAAGACTAAATATGGCTTGATCATCTTCGACTTGGTCATCCTTCCTTTAAATTTATAAAGCTCGCGTTTCCTTCTCTGTTCAAAAAAGAAGTGTTGAAAATTTTTATTGTGACATCTGTGAAATAACAAAACATAAGCACACTTCCTTTCCAGTAAGCAATAAAAGAAATATCAACCCTTTTGATCCTATCCATAGTGATATTTGGGGAAATCTATTGTTTCAAACATATTCGGGGCTCGTTGGTTTGTATCCTTCATTGACGATTGTACAAAGAGTGTCTTTGATATTTATCCTAAAACAAAAGTCAGATGTAAGCTCTGTCTTTAAGACCTTTTATACCATGATCAAAACCCAATCTGGGGCTGAAATAAAAAGATTCTGATCCGATAATGCCAGAGATTACTTCAATCAGATTCTGTCCTCATGTGTTAATACAGCTTAACAAAACGGAGTAGCTGAGAAAAAATTTGGCTATATCCTTACTCTTTTAACTGCACCTAAATGATAAACAGATTGCCTACAAAAGTCCTTGATTTCCAAAGTGCCATTCAAACCCTAACCAAGTTCTTTCCAAACTTCAGTGCCTCCATTAATCTTAAACCCAAGATATTCAGCTATGCTTCCTTTGTCCATATACACTCTCAAAACAGGGGAAAACTTGATCTAATAGCATTAAAATGAGTTTTTGTGGGCTATTCCTTCTCCTAAAAGGGATACAAATGCTATCATCCGACTACAAGAAAATATTTTGTTTATGCAAATGTTACTTTTGTATAACAGAAAATACTTTACCCATCTTTATCTGTAGGGGAAATTTCATTCAAATAAGATAAGGACAAAGATCTACTCTTATCCAACCACTTCTTGACCTCCTTCCAACCACTCCAGGCACTCCAATTAATAGCCAGTTACCTGTTGACTAGCCAGATTATGATTTGTCCCAACATACTCCCATAGAAACTCCCACAAAATCTACTGAAAATAATCCTACTTCACCTTAGCAAAGGGCTCAGGGTACTACACTTCCTTTAATGGTCTACTCGAGGAGAAAGACACCAATGCATGTTTAATCATCCTCATCTCCTATAAAAAATGAGGTAACTACTAAACTCATATTTGATAAAAATACTATTACTGAAAACTCTTATGAACCTATTGATCAAAGGAATTTCAAATTTCATATTGTAGTTAAAAAAGGGAAAAGAGCATGCACAAAAAACCTGAGGTACCTATTCATGTCTTACGAGAATTTATCCCATAACCACAAGACATTCCTTACTAGCCTAAACAACATTACCATTCCTAATGATGTATACGAGGCATTAGAAGATGAGAATTGGAAAAATACCATGCAAATTGAAATGGAAGCTCTTGAAAAGAACAAGACATGGGACTTAGTAACAATGTCAGAAGAGAAGAAGAAAATGGGGTGTAGATGGGTATTTATAGTAAGTACAAATCATATGGTTCTCTAGAGAGGTACAAATAAAGGTTGGTGGCCATGGGGCATTATCAAACATATGGGATAGACTATCTCAAGACGTTTGCTCTGGTTTCGAAGATGAACACTTTTAGAATTTTGTTGTCTTTGACTGCCAATCAACGGTGAAAGCTCCAACAATCTGACATCAAAAATTCCTTCTTACATGTAGATCTTGAGGAGGAAGTATATATGGATGTTTCACCAAGTTTCGGTTCAAGCACTAAACAAGTAGTGTGCAAGTTAAAAAAGGCATGTATGAACTAAATTAGTCCCCAAGAGCCTGGTTTGATAGGTTTACCAAGGTGATGCTAAAGTTAGGCTATAAGCAAAGTCAAGGTGATCTCACCTTACTTGTGAAACACTCATATTCAGGGGTCCTAGTAGTCTATGTAGATGATATTATAGTTACATGGGATGACTTGAAAGGAATAAATGTCTTAAAAAGTGTTTGGTGAAAGAATTCGAAGCCAAGGAGGTTGGAAGAATAAAATATTTCCTTGGAATTGAAGTAGCACATTCTCAGCAATGAGTCTTCATATTTCAACAAAAATATAACCAAGACTTGTTGAAGAAATGGGCGAATTGGGGTGCAAACCAGCAAAAACACCAATAGAAGATAACCACAAACTTGGTGATGCAACAAAAGGCATAGCAGTGGACAGAGGCTCCTATCAGAGGCTGGTAGGAAAACATATATTTTTGACACACACCGGACCAGACATTGCCTATGCAGTTGGAGTTGAGGCAATTCATGCATAATCCTAAAGACTCATACTTGAGGGTTGTTAATCAAACCCTATAGTACTTAAAGGGCACACCAGGCAGAGGAATTCTTTTTAAAAAATAGAAAATTTAACTGTAGAAGCTTATATTGATGCTGATTATGTAGGGTTTATGGTGGGCAAAAGGTCAACCTCAGGGTATTGCGCCTTTTTAGGGGGAAACCTTGTGACTTGGAGGAGGAAAAAATAGAATATGGTGGCTAGATCAAGTGCAAAAGCTATGTTTAGGGCAATGCCACTAGGGATTTGTGAATTATTATGGTTGAGGATAATCCTGGAAGATTTGAGGATCAAGTGGGAAGTTCCAATGAAATTATATTGTGATAATAAATCAGCCATCAACATAGCACATAACCCAGTTCGACACGATAGGACGAAGCACATTGAAGTGGACATATATTTCATAAAGGAAAAACTCGAGAGTGAGTTAATTTGTAGGGCATATGTGTCTACTAGAGATCAAATTGCTGATATGCTTACCAAAGGGTTACTTGGACAGTATTTTCAGAAACTGGTACGCAAGTTGAAAATGGAAGATATTCATCCTTAGCTTGAGGGGTGTGTCAAAAAGTGGATTCCTAATTTAGGAAGATTATGTAATTAACTAGGATCTTGTAAGTAGTCTTTCAATCCCTAAGTTTAAGGGATTTAATTTTCACCTAGAATAGGCTACTTTCCTAGTATAGGAGTTTCCTAAGATAAACTACTGTTTGTATTTATAACCGTGTACCTTTCTATGAAAGAGTGAACCAAATTACTCCATTTTTGACAGCCTTAATTAGAATGATTTAAGCAGCATAATAATACAGGAGTTTTGCGTCAAAACTCATTTATACAATTTACAGAAACATGCCATAAGGCCCATAACAAATTCACAATTGCATTTTAGCTGTATTTAATTGTTCCATCAGACAACTGGAACAGAAGTTGGTTTGCTACTTTTTTATTTATATTCGTCTTATGGTTGTACCCCATGGAACAACTAGTTTGAACAGAGATGTGCACAGATGATGTTTTACGTTTTTAACTTCGAGCTATCTTCTTTCATGACTCTTGATCCTGTTTTTTGCCTCTGCCTTTATGCAGACTTCTGAACTCTCTGTGGTAGGCTTCATAGTTGGCTATCCATTTGACAGACGACGACTCGCTCCTAATGTGCGTATTTCTCTTACGTTCTATCAGCGTAATCACTAATTTGCTTCCTAAATCTTGCTTTGTTTTCATTTTAATTAGGCTTCACAAGTGAAGCTGCTCATTGATGACCTCTCAAAAACGGGAAAACTTGATGGGTTAAAGTATACGTTCTGGGATGAGTGCATTACATCGAAGGTAGGCCCTTGCAGTTTTGTAGCTGTGTCAGAAAAACGTTAAAAAGTTAATCCGGAAAATTCACAATTTTTAAAACATGATTAGATTAGTAGACTTGAAATACAAGCACCTGCTTGATTCTCTTTCCTTTTCATTTACCTAAAATATCTTACCGTAAATCCTTGATACAACAGTATTCCTTTCGTAATTGATTAAATCAGATGTATCTATTAATTATAGGGTTAGCTAATGGCGACCTATCTGAACAAACTGATTTCTATGCCTATGCCTTTCAGTGTCACTGCTGCAGCTTTATTTGACAAAAAGTAAAAAAATCTCATAGTTTTTATTCTCAACAGAATGTGGAATTGCTGCTAAAGCCTTTGAGTTTGCATCCAGTACTATCGAAAACTATAGTTGATAAGTTTGCTGCTGTTCAGATTCTTTTGGTATCTTTCTTACGATCGTATGTAACTTTGCAAGTTCCTTGAGTAACATGTTTAAGCATGAGATGTGTTACTTTAAACTTTAAACAATACAGCAGCACGAGTCGATTCATGTCATAAATAAATTACAGCTACATTTTCACAGTTCATTGCAAGTTAACATTTCTTCAACTGGTAGTCTATTGATTGACAAATGAGGGAATTTGTATACAATACCATTTACTAAGTGTTGACTTGGTGATGATGGTCCTAAAGCCTTCTGAGGCGTGTTAAAGTTCAACGATCCTCACTTACTAAATTTTCTTCAACTTTGAAAAATGATAGTTCTATGAGATACTGAACCTATTAACCCGCATTGGTTTTAGTCGGATTCTAGACATGTTATAATTTCCATTTTTCCGATATCTGGCATTTGCAGGCATACCTGGATTACACGAACAAGAATGAAAGACTAAAGCAGATAGGTGAGATATAACCTGGTTTGTATGTGTTTACCAGTTCTATAATCTGGTTTATACCAGGATTGGAGCTTTGTAAATCAAAATACTGAAGGTGTTTGGCATTGCCAACACTCCAATAAACAGCTTTCAGCCTAGAAAAAGTAATTGTTACACACTGCTGTTAATTTTACTTGTAGTACATTAATGTTATGCATGATTGTTTGTTATAACTTAGACAGTCATAAAATTTTGGTGAGCCTATTTGTGGAATTTGTTTGTTTATTTTCTACAGGTGTATGATAGGGATAAAGAATTGGTGAATGCAAATGCTAAGGTATTTTTTTTTGGACTAAACCTTCTAGAAGAATTCTTGATTTTTTTGGCCATGTCTAATATAATACTTGGTTTTTAATTTCCTGTATGGTAGCAACATAATCATTTGGGTACAATACAAGTTTGGTCACCTTTGTTTCAATTTTGCTTAGTTTTGATCATTGATTTTGAAAGAAATTATGTTTTAGTCAATTATATTATTGATTTATAATTTTTGTCATTGAATTGTTAACTCTCTTTACATGGCACGTTAAAAAATTAATTAATTTTTAATTTAACGTTTGAACTTTAGGTAAAATATCAATTTATCTTTTAACTTTAGATAAAATACCATTTTAATCATAGAATTCGATCAAAGCTCCTCAATGTTGGTCATCATTAGCCACACCCGATTGATCGTTTCATTGAAAATGTTCAGTTTGAACTTTCCAATGAGTCAAACTCTATTATCAATTATTGAGTTAATCAATCAAGAATATGAATTGACAATAAAATATTAGTGAAAACCTTTACAAAAATTAAAGAAAATGTAACACTCCGATTCCCAGATTAAAAGTTCAGGCCAACTTAAGAGAGAGAATTTAATAAACTCGTTAGGCTTGTGAGAAGCCCATGCCCATTCATGAAATGTTTTGGGCTTGGGTTGAGTCCATTATGAATTAAAAAGGGTGTCTTTGAATGGGATGGAAAGAGTAAGGATTAAAATTGCAATTTGACCCTATTTGAAAATAAGGTTGAATCTTTAATTAGGATGAAGTCTCCTACGTAGAAAATGTCTTTTTTTCTTCATCCTTCCTTATCTTCTTTCTATCTCACTTTTCCTTCATTTTCTCCTTAGAGGAAGCTAGTAAAGGAGGCATCTTCGTAGACTATTTTTCCTAGTTCAAGTTTGTGAAGGTAAGTCTTGAAATCCTCTTCACTAGAGCCTCAACTTAAGCTTTCAACCTTTGAGTTTGGTCATGGTTGCCATGGTTCCTGTTTTACGAAGGGTTAGTGTTTTAGAGTTTGTAGAAGGATCTATACCATTCCTAAGTTTTAAGAATCTCTTTTTTACGTTCCTGAAGCTCCTAGTTGAGTTAATAACTCAATTCCATTGTTTCCCTAGCGAGAGAAGTGGGTGAAGACACCAAAAACAAAGACAAAGGGAATGAGGTGTTTAGTTAAGCTTTTGGTTGTTTCTTCAGCCTCTAGGTGAAAGGTAACACACTTCTAACTTTTCTTTACTTCTTGTAGTCAACATGTGTAGTTTTGATGCATGTTTGGGGTGTATGAGCCATTTGTGTGCACTTGGGGGTTTAAATGCATGAAAACAGGAATTATGGTTATTCATGTGTATAGTAATGATCTTTCATGTTCCTTAAGTATTTAAATAAGCTTTAAACACCATTTGGGACCTTGGGGACACTTTAAGAATGAATTGGAGGGCTTTTAGACGAGTGAAATAGGAGTGTTATGGGCAGAGGGTATCGGTACTGTAAGAATAGTATCGATACTGCTAGTCGTGTAAGGGAAAAATTCAAAGAGTTTGGGATGAGAGTATCGATACCCCATCAAAGAGTATCGATATTGCTCAAGTGGTATCGATACTCAGGGCCTTGATCAGAAACATTGAAGCCAATTTTGATATCGATACTCATGGGAGTATCTATATAGATAGTAGTGTATCAATACTCTTCATAAAGGTATCGATACCAAGGTATTTTTCAAAATATTGAAAGTAATTTTAGTATCAATATTTAAGGGAGTATCGATACTGAGATAATTTCCAAAATATCTAATATATTTTTGGTACTGATACTCAGGAAAGTATGGATACCATAGGAGGAGAATATTGATACCCAAAGAGGAGAATTAGTATCATCGTGATTATTTAGGCCATAAGCCTAGCTAAGGCTAGAGGGGCGAAACCAAGGGGTTTAATACGAGGAACCTTCAAATAAATTCACAAGTGGAACACCTTAATGAATTATGTGATAACATAAGATATTAATAAGGTAAGATTCCATAAGACTTATGCCTTTATATGATGCTCGGGAAACGACAAGGACATCTAGTCACTTGTATGAAGATTGTGTGGTAGAATGAGGATTATCTAGATATATCTAATCTAGTGGTCGGGCACTTAAAATGCTAGTTGGATGTTGTGTCGATGCTAAGTGACCTAACATGTCCTGAGTACTCTAGAGGAGTAGACTAGTTAGGTAAGGTGTCAATGCTATGTGACCCAGACCTAACCTAAAGTATAGAGAGACGTTGATGCTATGCGACCTAGGTCTTACCTAAGGTTCTTGGTAAGTAAAAAAGGGTGTGAGTTCCATGATGCTAAGTAACCCCGAGCTACACCATGATGCTTACTCTTATTATTGTGTTATTGTATGTGAATGTTCATAACCATACTTGTAGCATGATTATATGTTGGATGCATGTAGTAAATTAAGGTTATTTGTAAGACACTGAGTTTGTGAGCTCAGTGTATGGAATGTGTTTTCATGCGCAGGTTTTTATGTGTCATTAGAGGAGCTCGTCGCCATATTTCGAGATTTTCATATTCGATCTTCCATCAGAGTACGTCTCGAGTTTTAGTGGGCATGTACTATCATAGACTCTTAATATTGTTGAGTTGTAAACTCTACTTTGTACTTGTTTATTTTTGGAGATTGATGTTGGGAGCTCCCCGTATTTATGATTATTGTTATTTCATAAACATATTTTGTTATGGGTACTTTATATTATGTTTAAATGTTAATTTGGTCAATTGTTTTAAAAAATGGTTAGCCAGTTAGGTGGTTCAATGTGACATTCTAAACATCTAGACTCGAGTCAGATCAGATTAGGGTTCTATAAAAAATTGAAAAATAATTTAGAGTAGTTTAATTTCTTTAATAAAGTCTACATCGACTGTATATCTATAAATATTAATTATTTTATCAAATTTATTATGTTAATCAACCTTTGAGCATAAAGTGTAGTACCTTTATAATAACTTAAGATTTATACCCAAAATCTTAAAAAGTACACATTTTTAGAATAGAAAATGTAACACCCATCTCCTATATACACACATGTATACGAGGTACAGATGTCACATCACTAATATTATTGTTCCTAATTCAAAATCTTGTAAACATTTTGTTTCATTTTATAAAACATTTAATTCACTTAAAAGAAAACTTACATTAACTTAAATAGATGAACAAAAAGAGATGTTAAAACACATTATCATTTTACAACGGATTAATCTTAATAATTTTGAGAGTGTTTCTATTAAACCCTATTACATGCCAACTAAAATTAACAAAAGTAGACAGATATGTCATACGTTTATTGATAAGGCGACTCTATCTGGATGTCCAAGGATCTCCTTACTCAGTTGTATTCAACCTACGTGTGAAATAAACACACGTTAAGTATTACTTAGTGAGGCATACTTAATTATACAATGAAATCAACATATATATATATCATTATTCTTTATCAATGAAATATCAATTCATTATTTCCATTTATTATCATTTCTTTGTAGTGCACCCATAGTGCCCATATTGTTATTCATAAACATATTATGAATTCCGTGTTTTGCACACATGGTGTCGAAACGGTTATTCATCCGCATATGATGAATTCCGTGAAATGCAAACTTAGTTTCAAAATGGTTATTCATCCATATAGGATGAATTCTGTGAAATGCACACTTTGTTGAAATGGTTATTCATCCACATAGGATGAATTCTGTGCAATGCACAATTAGTACCGAAACGGTTATTCATCCACATAAGATGAATTCCATGAAATGCACACTTAGTGTCGAAACGGTTATTCATCCACATAAGATGAATTCCGTGAAATGCACACTTAGTGCTGAAACGGTTATTCATCCACAAAGGATGAATTCCGTGCAATGCACACTTAGTGCCAAAACGGGTATTCATCCACATAGGATGAATTTCGTGAAATGCACTCTTAGTGCCAAAACGGTTATTCATCCACATAGGATGAATTTCGTGAAATGCACACTTAGTGCCAATTTGGTAATCACCACACATATTTTAGCAGTTATACATATATGATTAGTATGTCATATAGTTTCACAATTAAAGGCACTCACATGACTTTCCTCACTATGTAACCAAATGTAGTGTTGATTACTCCGGCACTTTGCCTTTGCCCTTAGTTTTGCTTGTTTCGGGAGCTTGGTTCTGATCTACTCAATTATGTACCATACCCAAAGTTAGAATATTTCCTAACCATTATACTTAAACAATACTCAAAAGGACATATCATTAACTTTCTATACTTATATCAGCCTATTTTAACATTTCTAGCTCCATAGTATCGATACTACTACCCTAGTATCGATACTTCTATACTATGGTACCGATACCCTCTTCGGGTATCGATACCAAAAATAGGTTTGATGTTGCTTGGTATCGATACCCTTACTATGATATTGATACTACCCTACTATGGTTACCGATACCCCTTACTGATATCGATACCAAAATTAGATTCGATGTTTCTTGGTATCGATACCTTTGCCATGGTATCAATACTGATTGAATTAGTATAGATACTACTCAGCAAATTTTATCCTATTTTAACCTATAGTATCGATATTGTTCTAGGAGTACCGATACCCTTGCCCAGGATTTCAAGTTTTCAACCCAATTTTCACCCAAATGGGGACAATTTTCGTTATATTTAC